AAAACTGTAGAGAATTTTATAATTCTTGATAGCACAAGAAAAGAAACAGTAGCAACCATTCTTGTTCTCTATGTGGATCACCATTGGAGGCTGGACAATTGGACAGCTTGGATTGCAGATCGTGATCATTGGAGTTCGTGAATCAACAAAGGGTTTTTACAGAATTCAGCAAGGTATAATTCTAATCACAGTTTCTATCTAAATACATTGCAGATCCTTGATGGGAATTGAAAATTGTTTTATTTCCCCTGTGCATGATTAAGTAAATTCCCAACAATTTTTTCTCATCTTATCTATGAGCGAATTTCTACTTAAATAATGATCTCCCCATTATCCTGTTTCCAAACTATCATTATAACATTGGACTTTAATTTATGAATTGATGACTTGACAATTTCAACTCCAATCGATCCACTACTTAGGAATTATCTCTTCTGAAAAAAAAAATACGTTTTTTAAAAAATATTTTTGAAAATTGACGCAGAACGGAAGTAAAAGATTTAACAGCGTAATTCTTGAAAATAAAAAAACTGGAATTCTCCAAAAACGAAACTTGTATGCAATCAACATGATGTCGGAAATGTTCAAAAAAAAACATTTAAATATGCATTACAAGAAACCCTAAAAACATAAAATAGTAAAACGTTCCAAAAATAGAGAATATTCAAAACAGGAAATACGGAAATTAATTATTTAGAGGCCTAAATGAATAAATTTGGCTAAAATCCTAAGATCTCACGCCCTGAGTCCAACTTTCGGGTCGTTTCCAATCAACCAGCCAAATTTCATCCAATTCCAACACCGTCACGACAAATGCCAAAATTGTCCGTGACGTGGTCTTTTTTTGTCAATTTTCAGTCCAACACTTCTTCAAACTCCAAAGTTAGTTGTCCTACATCAAAAATAATAGATACATGTTTTCGCTCGATATGTGTAGTTGTAATTAGACTGATTTCATTTTTCTTTTTCTCCCATCGTTCGTTGGTAGCAATTTGAGTTAATATAATGCATTTCGACCTTCAAAAAAAAAGTTTCAACTTATTTAAAATAGTTAATTAAAAGTAACTTTTAAACTGAACAAACATGCTCTAAATACAAATTATCATAGAGGCAGAGATCGGAAATGAGATTTTTTTTTAAATCATAACTAGAGACCTACAATCTTTCATTTGGACTATATGAAATGACGTATTGTGCACGCAGATGTTGAAGAACAGTAAAAGGACATGGCTACTTCTAAAAGTCGTTGATATTTATTCTTGAAAATGAAGTGAAATAAATCCATCCGTTTATGTGGCCTACCAAGCATAATAATGTTTCTTCTAGAATATTTGAAACTAAGTTAAATTAATTTTTAAGTTATGTCTAAACCCCCTCATTTCCCTTTTTTTTTTCTTTTTTTTTTTTGCTTTTAATTTTCATTGATGAACAAATAAGGCATCACCAAATCCTTTGTCCGGGCTCGTTCCATATAAAAAAGAGGTTTATTTTTTATTTTTTGGCTTATGGAAAATTTGTCTTATGAACAAATTTAAGGATTGTTTGGGTCAAAAAACTTGAATAAAGAAGAAAATTGTATTAATTAAAGGATCGAGCCCAAGTCCAAGATACAGTTGTTTGATTAAATAGGTCAAATTCAATTGAATAATCGATGCTGAGTCGGCCATGTAAGACCTCTTCTTCACGTGTATGTCACGTAATTTATAGAAATAACAAAGAGAAGTTCAAAACTATTCAAACATAAAGGACCACCCATACACAATTTAGTCTTTTTTTAATCTCTTTGAGCCCTTTATTTTTTTTTGGCCAAAAATACATTTTGGAATAATAATTTGATGAAGAATGTGGTAAAAAATAAGGAAAAATTTTGAGTTTGCGTGTAATATTATTTTATTGAAGAAAGTGTGGTTAAAAATAAGGGAGAGATTAATGTATTTTTAGAAATAATGATACCAAACAAACAATTATTAGAAGCCGAATTCGTAATGTATCTGGAAGGCTTGAGAAACTATCTCGGTGAAGCTTTCAATGGTTCTTGGCAAGCCATATGCGTAAACATTGTGAAACAATTGACGGCAAGATAAAGACCCTTTACTAAAGAGTACCCATGAGAAGCCAATTCTTCTTGTTGCAAATATAGGAGTGAAGAATGAAAAAAAATAAAAAAATGAGTTATATAATATCTGAATTCGATTATAGGAGCTTGAATAAGGGCTGTTTGACATAGCTTTTGAAAAGTCAAAAGGAGTTTTTGAGATCCAAAAGCTGTTTTTAGACTCGTTTGGCTAATTATATGAAAGTGATTATTTCAAAAGCTAGTTTACATGAAGCAACAATTATGCCAAATGGACCCTAAGTGTTGCAGCAGAGGCCAAAAAATTTGCAAGTGTCCAAATCTTCCGCTGACTTTTCGCTGCCAATGCAAAAACCGGTGATAATAAAGGAGATTTGCTGCATACAGAAAATATCAGAAAAAATGTACATGAAGTTCGGACTAAACCAAGCAACTGAAGATTGGGAACCACGAGTAACGGAGTAAGTGTACAGCAGGACTAAAAGGCACTTCGTCCACTAATGATATCTGATGATATTTCACCAAAGATAGAAGAGATAGATTAGAGTCGGTTGTCAGCAATGAGAAACGGGTGCACCATGCTGCACGAGCCAACAAACCATGTTTTAGGAGGAGGAAAATAAAAATATGTTTGCAAGTTGATCAAAATATTAGAACGTATTACAATTTCGTGCCTGATCGGAAACCTGGCAACAATTCTACCTTGGAGTCCAAAAATGGCCTAGGACCATCAAAACCAAAAGAAAGCTTCAGAGAAAAATGTAAAGTTGACCGAATGACTAACCTGAAAAATTGCACAGAAAGGAAGGCAGCAGTTAATGCCATAAACCACTGGAAGAAAGTTTTAACAGTCTGTTTTCATGGAATGATCCGATTAGAACTGCAGCTTGACCTAATGTGAAGTGCACGGGAAATGTAAAAAGAGCAGAAACCAAACTATAGTACAGCAATTGAGCAAAATGTGGAGAAACTGCATGAGCATCTTTAGCACCTGCTAAATAGAGAGAATGTATGAGCTGAAGTTCATAATATGGTCTTCAAAAATAGGAGCAATAAATTTTATTTCAACTTTTCATCATTAATTGCATTTAAAATGTAAGTATTTAGAACAAGAAGAAGTGATAAAATGATTGATAGGAGGTACTGAGAACTATGCTCCCATTCCAGCAAACAAAAGCCACAAATACCATAAAGAAGGTTGGAAGCCAACAGCTCCCATCTCAGATGTCACGATTTCAAAATGGTAACCTGAATCTCATCCAATAATCCTGCAATAAATAAAAATGCCAAAAATATGGGCATAGTTAGTATAGCGACCGCACTTTGCTTATACTAGCTTTGAAAATATAATACTCCACCCTATTATAGATGCTTTTTTTTTTATTGAAACGAACGCACACATTCCAACTTCTAGGCTGCTATGATTTTGTTACTGTTAAGCCATTTTTTGTGTCCACTGCATGCAATATGGGGGACTACTGCACAAATATAAAAAACATAAGAAATAAGATAAGACCTGATGGATAGGATGAGGAACTAACAAATGTTCGCGAAATAAAGTTGTTGGGAATATCCGTGTTATTACTGAATCTTCGCTTTCTTAGGCTACAGACATCTTGGGAAAATGTAAAAATCCCATCTTAATATAAATTGACAATAGCACTATTTTTCATTTAATGACAAAATTCGTTAAACTGAAGATGCTTGGCAGCTAAAATCTGCCAACAAAAGATACTTTGCTTCCCTACTATATCTACCGTAACTAGGCTTGGCTCCAGAATGATCACTGATGGAAAAGATTGCCAACCACAATCAATATATTTTGATCATATTTTGGCTAGTATGTGAGAAAATGGAAGAATAAACTTTTTCTAGTCAATAAATCGAAATAGGCTCGAAAATCATGACATACTGACTTTAACTACTGATAACTATGTAGCAAATCTGTCCCCTTGAAAAATGAAAAAGATGCTAAAGTTCCTCCCTAGTTCTCCTTTTGTAACGCGATTAAGCAAACAAATTGCTCAAGCATAAGTTGATTTCGTTTGGCATTCTAAAATTGCAAAGAAAATAACTTTATGGAACAACATAAGAACATTGAAGAACTGGACAAAATTCTAATAAACAACCTTCAAAACACGAAAGTTTTCAGTTCTTAAAATGATCACAAAGAGCTTGATGTAAAAGGTAGGAACTGTTGATTATATTTTTATTATAGAAGTTCATCTAAAAGTTAAAGAAATGTCTTCAAATATTATTTTGAGAAGAAATGGAAGAAGCCACCTAAGTAACAATAAACTTATCACCATTAGACATATTACTGACTAGAAACAAATAAGATGCACTTCATGTCATCCCTTACCAATGAACTGAATAGATATTTCTTCTTCAAAACTAGAAGATACATGGCAAGAACTGCCATTAGAGATGCTACATCTGTATAATAAGAAAGGCGAAGAACCAGTGCAGTGTATATACTGACAAGATCACTGCACAAAGAGTTGCTTTCTTATCATCAAGAGATGGCCTTAAATGAGCGATAAGCTCATAAACCAGAATGCTGCATATTACAGCCAGAAAACCATTGGTGGTTCGCAGAATCAGAGTGGAGCAAATGTTGGAAAATGATGAAAGGTCTTGCAGGAAATGCATCCCTGGAAACAAAGAAGCAACATAGGCAAGCGAAAGAAATTACCTGCAATAAATTGCATACATCAACTTCTTATTACATAGAAATCTATCTCAATCTCTCCAAGTACGTCCACTTCTTTTACCATCTATTAACAGCTTATCTACTTCCACCTCCAGTAAAGTGAATTCGAAACAAAATGATATATGGTGGAAGCAAAAATTTGCAGTGACTTTTTAAATTTTATCTCATCTTTCAATTCTTTAAGATAATATTTCATCTCCTACACCTCCAACAATCCATAACCTAGAAAATGAACTTTTGTAACTTAAAATTCCACTAGGATTGTTTTTATCCTTAGATGGCATTCATTTAATCTCTCTTTATTGAAAAAAAATACCATCTTCCCCAACTTCCTTCATGGAACAGAAATGCCCAAATCTATCTATCCATAAATATTCAGATAACTAAACATAACACAGCAAATATGACAACCCCTAGAACTAAATAAAACCAAAGACTTGGAAATATCCAACAGATGACAAGGCTAGGAAAGTACATAAACAAATAATTGAAATGAATGGATTCAAAAATAAAACAACAAAGGGCAAATAAGAACTCACAGTCCAGGGGGCGTAGTGATCATTGGATCTCAGCTTCTGAAATTGCCTTTGCAGTACTGTTGGGCTTGTTGGACATTGAATATCTCATCCTGCAATTCTAACCATCATCAATGCATATGCATCTTACATTATCACATCTACACACACAAAAATCTCTGTAAAATATAGGTATCTTTTATAAGAGCTTGGAGTAAATAAGCCCTAGGTTGATTATTTGAAAAAAATTGATTTTGAAATTGTATCTTTCCTATTCTTTAATTTATTTGTAATATTATTTAATGAGAGAATGTTTAATTGATGAGATGAGAGAAAATGAATTAAAATTTAACGGGACCAAACATGGACTAAATAGAAGAATAAAATACCGTATAAGCTCCATGAACATTGCAATTGACGATCATGGAAATGGGTACAAAATATTTAAATAATATATTTATATTTTAAACAAAGATTTGGTATAATTCAAAAGATGAAGTAGAAAGAAAAAAAATATATATCGACAACTTGAAGACTAGGATAACATAATTTTTAGCACAATATCTCTTTAATGCAAAAATATTATCAAAGTGTAAATAATAATATCTAAAATTATTAATTGTAAAAACTTGAGTAAGGTATAATTTAGAAATCGGGAGAAAGATATAAGAACCATAATTTGAAGTCCCAAGAATATTGCAAGGACGACTCGTAAGGAGAATAGTGGTTTTCAATTACAAAAAGTGCAATATTTAGGGATTAAATTGCAAAATAGTGATAAATGTATATTTTCAAACGATAATATGACGAGTTACAATTATTTTGTGATGAGAAATATAACTATATTTTAATGATATTTGATTCGAGAACCTTTTAATAAATTTGAGATTTTGAGGGACTACAGTTTCGAGGTCAATAATGTATTTAGATCAAATGCGTATTTATTAGAGAATCGAAAATTACTATATCAATATTGGACTCATTTTGAAACGTAATAAATGACATGTTATTGACTCAAGGAAAAGTTAATTTGGATAAACCAAATTCAAGTTATAACACATTAAAATAAACTACTTCTTTATAATATTAGTTTTCAAATTAAATTATATTACCATGCAATATTGTCATTTTGGCCTGACAATTTTCTTAGTTGACAATATTAATTTTATGCTTGACAGCAACTTGGATCTTTTGTTCTTTAGATGCTCAGCCCATCTGCCAGTTGTCTGGCTGCAAAAGGAAATTGTTTAAACTCTGAAAGTCGAAGATGAAATGAGGAAGGCACCTACAGTAGCAGGAGCTCGAGAAATAAATATTTTGAACAAAATCGAACTCAATTAAAGTCCATCAAAATATATATATATATATATATAGTTACATGAATTTTTAAGTAATAAATTAATAATTATTGGACCTCCATCATGTTGTGTTTTTCAATTGGAGCCCCCCTTCACATTTGAGGCCCTAGGCCATTGGCCTACGGTCGACCCAGGTTGCAAAATCCATAGTGCGTGCAGAATTCGTTTATATTATTATTTGGGAACAATACATAAATAAGGTATTTAAGTATCACCATTTTAAAATTAAGGTTTGAAGTTTTAAATTTCAAAAATCAGGTTTTTATTAAAACTTATTTATAATTTAATTATGAAATAATAATTATTAAATTAATTTATTATTAATATTTAACCACAACTCCAGGGATATTTCGGCGACTTTTTCGACGACTGATCCGATTCCGACGAATATATTAAGGTCACAGATCTATACAATTTGGTCACAATTCAAAATTTTATAGGTCGCAATTCAGAATTTTCATAGGTCACA